CGGGAGGCTGAGGCAGGAGAATCACTTGAACCTGGGCGGCAGAAGTTGCAGTGAGCCAAGATCATGCCACTGGTGGCACTCCAGCCTGGACAACAAGAGTGAGACTCTGTCTCAAAAAAGAAAAATAATAATAATAATAAAGAGTTTTAATATTATCTCATGACTAAGGCTCCAGAGTAACAAACCTATAATAATGTGAAATTAATACTATCTGTATACCTGGTCTCATCATTTACAGTGATTTCACATGACCTCATTTGCCATTCATGTAAACCTTGGAAGTATTATTCTATATCCCTGTTTTTTATTCTTTTTGTAACAAATTGCCACAAACTTATATTCCCATTTTAAATATGAGAAAACTGATGCTCAGTGGGAATGAAGTGCCCCAAAACACACAGCTAATTAGCAGAAGACAAATCTAGTGCTTCTGACTGAAAAGTAAATGGTCCTTCCACCACTGTGTTTCCCACATGGGCACCAAAGGGCTCCTTACTCAGAGTGGTACCTGGGATTTAGAATTCAAATTCCACTGCCCAGGCTAAGGGAACTCTGGAGTCCCAGAATGCCAGTCACAACTCACACTTTAGGTGGTAGCCCTGCTTACCTCAGATACTCCTATTCATGCACACACTCAACAAACATTCGTAATGCATCTGCTATGCATAAACACTGTTCCAGGCCCAGGGACACAATAATGAACAAACTAAAGTCCTGCCCCCATAGAGCTTATGTTCTAGTGGAGACAGAGGACAAAAAACAAATAACTATACAGTGTGCGACAGGATAAGAGAGGATAAGTGTTATGGAGAGTAAGGGTAGTAGGGAATTCTGGGATAGGAGTTTCTTTTTCACTGGGTGGTTAGGGAAGCTCTCTTAGGTAAGTGGCATTTGAGTAGAGAGTGAAGGAAAGAGGGTATCAACCACGCACATATCTAGAGAAGATGCTCCAAGCAGAGGGTACAGCAAGTATAAAGGCCTAGGGGCAGGAGTGGGCACTCCTTGGTTCAAGAAACCACAAAGAGGACCATATGGCTGAAGTGAGAGGAAGAAAACTAGGCTGGGCGCAGTGGCTCACACCTGTAATCCCAGCGCTTTGGGAGGCCAAGGTAGATAGATCACTTAAGCTCAGGAGTGCAAGACCAGCCTAGGTAACATGGTGAAGACCCCATCTCTACAAAAAATACAAAAAAAAATACCCGGGCGTGGTGGTGCATGCCTGTGGTCCCAGCTATTCGGGAGGATCCCTGAGCCAGGGAGGTGGAGGTCACAGTGAGCAGAGATTGCAGCACTGCACTCCAGCCTACATTACAGAGCAAGACGCTGTTTCACATAAAATGAAAAATAAAATAATACAATACAATACAATACAATACATAAAAAATAAAATAAAATAAAATAAAATAAAATAAAAAGAGAGGTAGATGAGATCAGAGAAGCAACCAGGCCAGAATGTGTAGGGCCCTGTAGCCTACTATAAAGACTCTGACTTTTACTTCAAGTGATACATACAAGAAGCTACTGGAGTCCAGGTGGGGTGGCTCATACCTGTAATCCCAGCACACTGGGAGGTTGAGACAGGAGG